CTCCGCCGCGGCGGGCGCGGCCGCAGGGCCGCCCCGCGCTCTGTCAGCGGGAGCGCCGGGCACCACGTCGAGGAGGAGGAGGGAGGGAGGGAGGAAGGCAAGGAGGGAGGAGGAGGAAGGAGGAGGAGGAGGAGGAGGGAGGAAGAGGAGGGAGGGAGGGAGGAGGGAGAGGAGGAACGAAGGGGGAGGAGAGGGAGAGGAGAGGGGGTGGGCGAGGGAGGGAAGTGAGGGAGTGGGGAGGCAGGAGGGAGAGGAGGGGGGAGGAGGTATGGGAGACTGACCAAACAGGGAAGGCATGACAAGGGACAAGGAAGAAACATGGACACCTTGCCGCACGAACTGATCCAACGCGGTTTCGGTCAGTCGCACGCTTGTCGACAACACACACACACACACACACACACACACGCCAGACCAGATCGCTGCAACGGCTGCTGTCGTGCCCGATGGCCACCCCGTGACGCAGCATGAGCCCGACGCATCAGGCCCTTGTGGTGTTCGAGGGTGGCGGTGTGTGCGAAGGCCTGAGCGTAGAAAGCTGACGAGCGGCGCTCCAGCTCTTCCAGACGGCGCGACATCTGCGACGGCTGCTCAGAAAGTGGGCCCGGTCTTGGTCAGGAAGGCATTCTTACATTAGGTGGTAGTAATAATGCCGCCCCGCGACCGTGACCAGGACCAATCCTGGTCTTGGTCGCGGGTGACGTTGCTAGTGTGCTATTTGGCCAAAAAATATTAAAATTAGCCTGGCGAAAAACCCAACCATATGCAGTTGTCAGTACCGCAGCTGCGGGTTTCATCTTCAGTGGAACTCCCCATAGGACTACGGAACGTGTGAGGGGTGTGTCGAGATGGGTGCCACTGGGGCATTCGGCGAAGCTCCCTATGGGGACATGAAACACGCGCGGGGCGTGCCGACATGGGTGGCGGAAACGCATGTGAGGGCCGCCACTGGGGCCTCCAGTGGAGCTCCCTATGGGTCCCCGAAACATGATGCTGCTGCGGGGGGGGTGCCGGGATGGGTGGCGGAGACGCATGTAAGCGCCGCTACTGGGGCCTTCGGTGGAGCTCCCTATGGGGCCACGAAGCGCGTGAGGGGTGTACTGGGATGTGTGGCGGGGACGCATGTGAGCGCCGCCACTGGGGCCTTCGGTGCAGCTCCCTATGGGGCCACGAAACGTGTGAGGGGTGTGCCGAATTGGGTGCGGGTGGTGACGCATGCGGGCGGTGCCACTGGGGCCTTCGGTGGAGCTCCCTATGGGGCCACGAAACCTGTTGTTGTGAGGGGCGTGCCGGGATGGGTGGCGGGGACGCATGTGAGCGCGGCCGCTGGGGCCTTCGGTGGAGCTCCCTATGGGGCCACGAAACGTGTGAGGGGTGTGCCGAATTGGGTGGGTGTGGGTGACGCATGTGAGCGCCGCCACTGGGGCCTCCGGTGGATGATGGGGCCACGAAACCTGTGAGGGATGTGCCGAAATGGGTGTGCGGGACGCATGCGCATGTGAGCGCCGCCACTGGGGCCTTCGGTGGAGCTCCCTATGGGGCCACGAAACGTGTGAGGGGTGTGCCGAATTGGGTGTGCGGGACGCATGCGGGCGGCAGCACTGGGGCCTTCGGTGGAGCTCCCTATGGGGCCACGAAACGTGTGAGGGGTGTGCCGAATTGGGTGTGCGGGACGCATGCGGGCGGCAGCACTGGGGCCTTCGGTGGGGCTCCCTATGGGGCCACGAAGCGTGTGAGGGGTGTGCCGAATTGGGTGTGCGGGACGCATGCGGGCGGCAGCACTGGGGCCTTCGCTCCCTAACGGTGTGAGGCCGAATTGGGTGTGCGGGACTGCGGGCGGCGGCGGCACTGGGGCCTTCGGTGGGGCTCCCAAATGGGGCCACGAAACGTGTGAGGGGTGTGCCGAATGGGTGTGCGGGACGCATGCGGACGGCAGCACTGGGGCCTTCGGTGGGCTCCCTATGGGGCCACGAAACGTGTGAGGGGTGTGCCGAAATGGGTGTGCGGGACGCATGCGGCGGCAGCACTGGGGCCTTCGGTGGAGCTCCCTGTGGGGCCACGAAACGTGTGAGGGGTGTGCCGAAATGGGTGTGCGGGACGCATGCGGACGGCAGCCATGGGGCCTTCGGTGGAGCTCCCTATGGGGCCACGAAACGTGTGAGGGGTGTGCCGAAATTGGGTGTGCGGGACGCATGCGGACGGCAGCACTGGGGCCTTCGGTGGAGCTCCTATGGGGCCACGAAACGTGTGAGGGGTGTGCCGAATTGGGTGTGCGGGACGCATGCGGACGGCAGCACTGGGGCCTTCGGTGGAGCTCCCTATGGGGCCACGAGACGTGTGAGGGGTGTGCCGAAATGGAGGATGATGACGATGATGATGGTGGGAGGAGGGCGGAGGGAGGAGGCAGCGGGAGGAGGAAGGAGACGCGGGGCACCGTCTCTTCAAAACGAGGACCCAACACCAGAAGATGGTTGGGAACAAAAGTAAATCCGTACCGCGACCGTGACCACAACGAATGTGCCTTGGGTAATGCCACCGCCAGAGCCAGACTGTGACTGGTCGCGGCCTGGGGGGGATTCCAATGGAAGAAGAATAATGCACCCCGACAACGACCGCGACCAAGAAACCAATTCTGGTCACGGTCTCGGTCGGAATGCATTCGAATGTACCTTTATTGTTGTTAATAATGCCGTCGTCAGAGCCAGACCGTGGCTGGTCGCGGTTTGGGGGCACTCCAATGGAACAATAATTACCCCAGTGCGACCCTACCTAGAAGTTGGAGCCCCTAGGAAAGCAGCATTGGTTGCTAGAATATGTTATGCTATGCTATGCCATGCGATGTTCCGCTATGCTATGATATGATATGTTAAGCTATGCTGCGATATGCTAGGATATGCTATGCTAAGCTATGATATGTCATGATGCACTGTGCTATGCCAAGATGTGCTCTGCTATGATATGTTAAACTGCGATATGATATGCTATGATTTACTGTGCTATGATATACTATGATGCGCTATGCTATGATGTGATATGAAATGATATGAGATGCTGCGCTATGCTATGATACGTTATGCTATGCTATGCTATGCTGTGCTATGTTAAAGATCAGCGAAGTTAGAATGAAGGTCATCTAGGCTAAGATAAACCTGAGCTAAGATGAAGCTAAGTTAAGCTAAGATGAAACAAGCTAAGCTAAGATGGGATAAGCAGCGCTAAGCAAAGGGGACGTAGCTGGGGGAACCGCGGGGCGGATGCTGGGGGAACCGCCCGGGGCGCTTTCCACTGCCCGGCCCTTTAAGCCCAGAGAGTAAGAACCCTTCTAGGCAGAGCCTGGGTAGGGAACAATGCACCCCGACCGCGACCGCAACCAGGAGTGGTCCTGGTCGCGGTCGCAGGGCTGCATTCTTATTATTATTACATAATTCTAACAAGGCGCCCCGACCGCGACCGTGACCAAGACTGGTCCTGGTCGCGGTCGCGGGGCGCCATCAATATTACTTAATCCTGATAAATCACCCCGACCGCGACCGCGACAAGGACTGGTCCTGGTCGCGGTCGCGGGGCTGCACTATTATTACCCAATCCGAACAACGCACCCCGACTGCGACGTTGACCAGGACTGGTCCTGGTCGCGGTCGCGGGGCGGCACTATTCTTGCCCAGTCCTAAAGAAAGCACCCTGACCGCGAGGGTGACCCGGACTGATGCTGGTCGCGGTCGCGGGGCGGCGTTAGCTCCCGCTCCCTTCCCTCCATTTTCCATTGGCTCAAGCACCAAGGTTCCGAGGCCGCTCCCGGCTCCCAGCGCGGGGCCGAAGCGGCAGACAGCTAGCGCAGGAGGCGCAGCGGCGCCGCAACAATCAAGTGAAAAACCAGGGTGGGCGGGCGGGACAAGCGGTCCCACCCTTGAGCCCAAGACGGCAGCAGGCAAGCTGCGCGCGCGCGGCTAAGATGCGCGGAGGGGGACGCGGAGAGTCTAACTTTGCTTCACCTTTGTGAATTCGATTTAGCTCCCGCTCCCTTCCCTCTTTTTTCCATTGGCTCAAGCACCAAGGTTCCGAGGCCGCTCCCGGCCCCAATGCCAATGACGGAAAAGAGGGGAGCGGCAAAGGAACGGGGCATTGCGGTGCCTAATTCTCGGGGCCGGAGTCATCGACGACGCCCTGCGCCAGCAGGCCGGCGGCCACCTCGTCGCCCGACACGTACGGCCGGGCTGATGCCACCGATCGCCAACCACCCCGTGCGAGCATGGCTTCCACGCCCGACGCAGCAAAAACGTCTGCGGCAGCGCCCCGCCGGACGTCGTGCCCAAACCGCGCCTCGGGGCTAGCGACCCCGACCGCCCGCAAATGGCACCGGAGCTCTGCCGTCCAGGACTCAGGAGTGTATCCGCCGAGCGGGCGGCCCCCGACCCCGAGGAGCTCATCCCAAACGGGTAACCACGTGGGAAGGCAGATGCCTTCATCCATCCCGCACGTACAAAGGCGAAAACGGTGCACAAGTCGATCCTCTGCTTCCAGCGGATCGGCCCGTACACGAACCGACCGCCCTGCACCTGCACGCGAGCGCGCGTGCACTGCGCAAACAGCTCGGATGGCATCCGCAACAGAAAATTGTATGCAAGCGCTGCAATAACGCACCACCACCTGCGCTGACGCGACAGCGCGATGCGGAGCAACCGCCGCAGCAGCAGTCGGTCAACCCGTTGCCTGGGTAGCCGGGGCGCCCGGCTTTTGGCTGTGCCCAAGCGAATGCCGCGCAAGATGACGTCCTGATCGCCTTGCCAAGGAACGCCAGCGACCTGATGCGCCAGGGCCCACGCGCTCAACCACCCACGCTGTGTGGAGGCACACGCACAAATTGCAGCAACCCTACGAACGTGCTGCACGGAGCACCCCAGCGGGGGTTCACCTGATTAACAACTCGCTGGCCCACGCAATCATACGCAAATGCGATGCGTAAAGCCGCAGCGTGGACGGAACCGTTTTGCACAGGAACC